AAAGTAAACATCGCTGATAGTCCGTTCTATCGTCCGTCGCACCTGCCGCTTTTCACCCCAGAAAAGGGTTGTAAATAAATCTCTTTTACGATCCTTTTAACCCAGTTATCGGGGAGAAGTTGTCCGTCTAAAATTAGACACGTTTCGCCAGCATTGGCAAGGCGGTATGCACTCTAAACTTAGAAAATAGATTCCAAGATCTCTTCTCCTCGTTTCACACGGATTTGGATCGGACTCATCGGAATGTACAAACATCGGTATATTCAAATTGGCTGTAAGTCGTGTATGCCAAAAATCCAAAAGTGAAGGATAAATGCCAAAAGCTTCTTCGAGAATTTTGTATCGAATCGCTAGCATTGGCTAAAACCAAAATAGATTTATTTTCTGCATTGGATTTATCCAAAATAAAAATAATGGCCGGAAATTATCGAAGATTTGTTCACAAATTACCGACGAGAGCTAATCCGAAAAAAAATCGTACAAAATATTCCTCAAAACTAACTTTTTTTTAAAAAGAAAACTGCGGACCTATTTCAAGTTCTGTTGAACAGAAAGACAAGAAAATTATTGAGAATTTTCGGGGAAAATGATTGATAGAAACAGATTCAAAATTTAGCAAACTTTATCTGAAAGCTGAAAAATTAATTGCCAAGGTACTGATTTGATTTCTCCATATTGAAAAGAAGGACAATAAAATTATTGAAATTTTCTCCAAAAATTATCGGTAGTTAACAGATCCAAAATTTAGCCAGCTTCATCTGAACAAAACAACTTATCTACCTCGAAGAAAATATTCGCCAAATTGCTTGTTTGATTGGTCCAAATTAAAAAGATGGAGGGGAAATTTGTGGAAATTTTCTCCAAAAATTATCGGTAGTTAACAGATCCAAAATTTAGCCAGTTTCATCTGAACAAAACAACTTATCTACCTCGAAGAAAATATTCGCCAAATTGCTTGTTTGATTGGTCCAAATTAAAAAGAAAGAACGGAAATTATTGGAGAGTCTCCAAAAACTTATCGATGCAAATATATACAAACTTTTACCAGCTTCATCTCAGAAAAACAACTTAAAAATTATTGAGAATTTCGGTAAAAATTATTGATGGAAATAGATTTAAAATTAGCTAACTTTAACTGAATAAAACAGCTTGATTTCCTCTAAGAAAATTAACTGCCAAGGTACTGATTTGATTTGTGTATATTATAAAAGAAGGATAATGAAATCATTGGAAATTTTCTCCAAAAATTATCGGTTTTTAACAGATCCAAATAATAGCCAGCCTCATCTGAACAAAACACCTTGTCTACCTCGAAGATAATATTCGCCAAATTGCTTATTTGAGTGGTACAAATTTAAAAGAAGGAACGGAAATTATTGGAGAGTCTTCAAAAACTTATCGATGCAAACGTATCCAAAATTTTGCCAGCTTCATCTGAGAAAAACTACTTATTTTCCTCAACAAAAAATGATCACTTTATCTGAACAAAACTTAATTTCCTTTTAAAAAAAATTAACCACCAAATAACTAAAAAAGGACTAAAGATAATGACAAAAAATTAGTCATAATCTATCTCCAAAAATTTAACCATTGCTAAAATCGAATTTTTCAGAAAAAACGTCAAAGGTAGCCAAACAATATAAAAAATATTTGAGGATTTCCTCCAAAAATTATCAAAGATAGCGTATCCAAACAATTCCCGATAAAAAATGTATTTTATACCTCAAAAATACTCAAATGTCTCACTATTTCAAAAAGGATTTGTCCGAATTAAGAAAAAAAAACTTAAGCATTTCACTCAAAAATTACCGATAGGAGCAAATTAAAAATAATGCCGGTTTCATCTGAACAAAACAACTTAATTTCCTCTGAAAGGATTTCTTTTAAAAAATTATATCCAAAAATTTGAAAATAAACTCCTGATTGCCAAAAATGCTAAATTTCTCGCCACCATGTGTGTTTTATGAAAATTGCGTCAAAGAGATTATTTCAAATGAAACTGATCCAAATTAAAAAGCATGGTAAGAATTGAGCATCATGTCCAAACATAACATATCCAAAATTTGCCTCTTTCATTTTACCAAAATGAGATGAAATTACAGCAAAATGATAATATAAATAAAACACTTGGTCCAAAAATTATAATGAAAATGTTAGAAAATTATTTTAAATTATTTCTCAAAATTGCCTGTTAAATAACCGCCTACACCTGATAAAAATAATTAATGTTCTGTAAGAAAATTGCGTCAATGGAAAGTTTTAATTCAAACGCTGTCCAAAATTAAATTCTCAATCAAATTCCCTCAAAAATCGAACAGAAGCCAACACAAAATATTGACTTCTTATAAGAAATTTTTTTTTTCAAACTTGTTTGTAAGATTTCTTCTTGGTTATCGGTTTAAATGGGCAAGGCCAAAAAAAAATCTAAAAATCAATAGACCAAATCAAACTATCCAAGAGAAATTTTAGTTCCATTATCACCACCGATCACTTCCAATGGTGTTTTTGGTCGAAAACCGCCAGGAAATTCACCGGATCCTTTTTTCACAGGTCGTAACTCGACGGAAAAAAGATCCGAATCGTCATCTCCACCGGTAAAGGTGAAGGGGGAAAAAAGACAAGTTGAATTAACCGAAATTGGCCCGGGTCCCATTCACGCCAGGCCCTGGTGGAACCCCGGAAATACACTCACTCGATAATCCCCCTCTTGAATCCCATTCACAAACCTTTACCTGCCCTAAAGACGAAAATCCAAACCGGGTTTATAACACAATCATACTAGTTTACGTTTCAATAATCTGTCATTTTCTTATTATTTTTTTATTGCTAATAAATTCAATAACCTGATGGAATGTCTCGGCCGAAATAAATTTTCGCGAGTTTTTCCCAATTTTCCGGGTTTTCCGTGAAAAAACTTTTCCTTTTCGGTCCGGCCCACAATCGCACAATTCTTAGTCAAATACCAGGACGAAGAAAAAATCAAGTCTGTCCGATTGAAAAGATTGCTTTACAAATTTAATTTAATTATGTTGATGAGTTAAAAAATGATATACAGTTGGGACGAAACTGAACTAGGTAGCGATTTTGGGTTGATTGGTCACTATGGAGGGCGTGCACAACATTGCAATCGATACCGTGCCAGCCGTTCATTGATGCATCCTCAATGTTTTTTCCAACAATCTTTTAAAATAACGTGGAAATTGCCGATATTCCCGGTTGAAAAGAGCCAATGGTGTGAAACGTTTAAAAACCCTACAATGGACAATTGGTCAAAACGGAACGATCAAGTTAAAACTAACTTCATCAAAGTTCCAACTTTAAATAGAAGGAGTGAAAATTCAAAAGGTGGGGTTGAGATGGAAGTTAGTGTCCGAGTGGATCGAAGTCACGATAGCTCACGTGGTAGAGTAGCGGCGTATTTAGCCGAAAGTCGTGGGTTCGAATCCCGCTCGTGACACTGACTTTTTTATCTCAATTAAAAACCTCAATTAATTTAAATAGAATAACAAAAACGATATTTAAAAAATATATAAATTTATTTAAAAAGGTCATACCAGGAATACACGGCCATGCCCTTTGTGTAAAATTGAATGAGCAGAGAAAGAAATTCGACATTACACATAACCTATGCACAATACTTCATCAAATTAGATTAGTTTTTATAGGATCTGGCCTCTTTACGAACTGTGCAGTATTGGTCCATTTTTTATTTATTTAGAGCTTCTCGTTTAACGAGAGACTTTTTACCAGACCCCAAAGCTTTTTCAAGGGAACCCGTGTGTAACTTTCAGGCCCTGGCTTTACCTCTCCCAGGATTAGGAAACAGCCTACCTAGGCCTTCGTTACCAACAGAGGACGTGTTCCGCTGTTTCTTCTCCTTCTTGGCAATATCTGCACAGGCTTTTTCTAAACAACTCCAGAGTCTGCAGTGTCCAGTTAGCAGTCCACCTATTGTTCTAGTCCTAGATTGAGTCATTCTGATGTTAGTTTCTGCGATGGTCCTTTGATTACGTGGGAGTTCATATCCAGCTAGAGCATTTGTTGGTTAGGCAATTTTTGGGAACACCGAGGCCCATTAACCTCCATTTACAGCCCACAATACCTCATACCTGGCAATACTAGCTAAGATAACTAAGTGGAGGTTATATTCCTGATGTACATGGAATGAACGAGTTGTTTGGTACGATTGTGTTCACTTTAATATCAATTCTTACTTTTCTTAAGCAGTATAGATTTCCTTGTGTCTATATTTGTCGTTATTTATTGAAAAATAATTTATTAGCGCGAATGTAGGGGCTAGGCCCATCGGTCCCCTAGGAATATCACGTAGCCTGGGGCAGTGTTAATAAAGTCTGGGGTGTGAATATAATTTATTAGAATATTATGTAGGGTGTGGTTTTCTTTTTTTCACGTCCTAGATTTAGTAGTTCTGCTGTTAGTTTCTGCGATGGTCATAGGAGTTCATATCCAACCAGAGCATTTCACGGAATTTTCAATCCTCACCAACCTAGGCAATTGTTGGGAACACCTAAGCCCATTAACTTCCATTTACAGCCCACAATACCTCATGGATTGTGAATACTAGCTAAGATAACCAAGTGGAGGTTATATTCATGATATCATACAATGAAAGAGTTGTTTGGTATGATTGTGTTCGCTTTAATATCAATTTTTAGTTTTATTGAGTAGTATAGATTTTCGTGTTTATATTTTTCTAGTTATATCAATAAATGAAAGAATTTATTAGCGCGAATGAAGGGGCTAGACCCATCGGCACCCTAGGAATATCACGTTGAGTAGGGCAGTCTGAATGAAGTCTGGTGTGTGAATAATATTTATTAGAATATTTTTTAGGGTTGTGGTTTTTCTTTTTTTAAAGTACATCTGACTATATGACTCGTTTCTCCCTTGTCTGACTTCTTTCATTTTTTTAAATGTTATTAATCATATTTGAGCCGAGTGGATCAATACATTGGTTTGATGTGTTCTTTTTTCCTCAGGTGTCGGCCAAGGATCAGAGACCTTAATGAGATCATCGAGGGTGACTTAGTTACCGCTCGGAGGAGAAGGATGTGCCCAAGCGAGAATCCGTCGAGCTTCCAGCCACTGCAGAACAGGTATGTACTTGAACTATACAAGTGTTATTAGTGTTAATTGTTTTAATTTTTTTTCAGACTGTTCGACAGGGAGGCAGGCAGCGATGTCACCTTCCTCGTCGGCCACGGTCAAGACATGTGGCGATTTCCCGGTCACAGGTGGGTAATGTTTAATTTAATAATTGTACAACGGATTGAGCACCTACCTCGTACACTCTATAAAAGGAGGAAAAACTAAGGGATACTCGCCGTCCCGACCTTTCGGAATTGCCGGTTTAGCCTAACTCGCCTCCCCTGATCCATTCGCTTTTATAAAATATTTCGAACTTTTTTGTTTCCAGGAGTGTCTTGTCAGAGGCGAACCCAGTTTTTAAAGCGATGCTGAATTTCCACGCATCATCGCCGGAAGGAGTGATCCCTATCGGTGACGTAGAAGGGAAAGCTTTCGATTTGTTGCTGAGGTTTACTTTTTGACTTATTCATTATTAATATTGCCTGTTTGCTCTTAAGTCTAAACCCCCTTTCGTTAAAAAAAATTACAAATCTGAAAGTACACCGCCTTTGTTGAAGTCTTTAGTGCTATCCATTGTTTATTGATGGCTTTACATTTTCAATAATAATTTTTTTCCAGGTATTTGTATAAGGAAGACGTTCATATACAGAGCGTGTCGACGGCTTTGTCGACGCTCTATGCTGCGCAGAAGTACCTGTGCCCCGGTCTTATGAGGCACTGCATCTGCTACCTGGACCAGTCGCTGGACGTGAACAACGCTCTCCTCATATTCGTCCACATACGTTTTTACACGGGCCAGTCTAAGAAGGCGAGCGCGCCTCCGATGGAGCACCTCGACCTGCCCCCGGACCAGGACTTCGAAGACATGGCGACCCTGTGCAAGTCCCTCTTGCACAACTGCCTCCTTTTCATCGACAACAACGCCGCACAGATACTCGTACAGGAAGGGCTCGAGGACCTTCCGAAAGACTCCCTGTGGGAGATCGTCGAAAGGGACACCCTCAACGCTCCGGAGCACATCATCTATGCCGCCATTGAAAGATGGTCGAGTTTAGAATGCAAAAGGTGAAAATTGTTCAATACTCTCAGAAATTAAACCGTCTAGAGTGTTGTGCTGCGTGGTGATGATCTGTAGTTCGATCTAACAATCCTCACTGATTTTGCCATCTTCGGTGACGGGTCTGTGTGATTGACGTACATATGATTAGAAATGGTAGTATAGTTTTCTACTGTTATGTATGGCTACGGTAGTGCAGAGTTGGTTTGATCCTGTTATGAATAACCAAAGATAATTTGGTTCTATTTGAGATAGTCAAGAACGGTTAGCGGGTTAGAATTAGTTAAAGATAACTTAGAGATGTCAACGATGGTTTTATGCTACTAGACATGGCCAGGTCTGAGACTGTCAGAAATGTTTTTATGTTGTAAGAGTTGATGAGAGATGGATAGGTATAGGCAGCAACGGTTATATTCTATCAGAGATCGTTACGTGCTGTTACAGAGCTATTAGATATGGCCAGTAATGGTGATAGATCATTAAGACAATTTAGAGATGGTTTAGTACTGTCAGATATGGTTTGGCGCTATTAGATATGGCTAGGAATGGGGGTAGATGGTTAGGAAAATTTAGAGATGGTTTAGTACTGTCAGAGATGGTTTCGCGCTATTAGATATGACCAGGAATGATGGTAGATAGTTAGGAAAATTTAGAGATGGTTTAATACTGTCAAAAATGGTTTGGTGCTACTAGATATGGTTAGAAATGGTGGTAGATGGTTAGGAAAATTTAGAGATGGTTTAGTACTGTAAAAGATAGTTTGATGCTACAAGATATGGCCAGTAATGGTGATAGATAGTTACGAAAATTTAGGGATGGTTTAATACTGTAAAAGATACTTTGGTGCTATTAGATGTGGTCAAGAATGGTCAATTGCTTAGGAGATTTGGAGATGCTGTGGTACTGTTATGGAGACAAGAATGACCAGATATGGTTCGGTACTGTTAGAGATGCGTTGGGCGGTAATATTGATCAGCGATGATTGTAAGCGTTATTGATGGACATCGATAGTCAGAGGCGGTTTGGTGCCATTATATGGCCAAGAATGGCCGTAGATGTTTAGGAAAGTTTGGTGATAGTTGGATAATTTGGTACTGTTAAAGGTGCTTGGGGTAATAACTAATCAATGATGGTTTGACACTGTTAGTGGCGGTCATCGGAGTTCGTAGGAATACCTTTGTCCATGCCGACGGTATCGTCCTCGAATGCTGAAAGTAGCTAACGTTGACAATCTGAAGGCTGTCCTGAAGACTCAGCGTTGAAGATGGCGAGAAGCCGAAACGCGTCTAAACAGACCAAAAAACGATCGGAAACGACCAAATTATACAAAATTTAATTTTAAGCAAAAACTTTTTATAAACCGATTGTGCTTTTTTTAAGGTTATGTCAGGAACTGTCGCCGGACAACTTGAGATCGATACTCGGCGATGAAATACTCTTCTCCGTTAGATATTTACTGATGACCCAGAGGGAATTTTTCGAAGGGCCGATGCGAGGGAACCTCTTGACCAAGGCCGAAGTGACCGCCCTCTTCGAACACCTTCACAAAATGCCGGTCACCTTTGTCCCAGGTAGTCGTTAGTTTTGACTAATGTACGAATTTTCAACTATGCATTCTTTTTGGGCAGCTACCATCACGGAGGAAAGGCTGAAAAAGTTCCGGGAAAAACGCCGCCCTTCGAGAGTGTCGAGGATCCAACTGGGAAAAAAGCAATCGGAGGACAAGAAAAAGTGGAAAGAGGTCAAGAAGAAGAAAAAAAAGAACGACAAAGAGAGCTCGTCGAAAACGTGCACCGGAACTTGCGTTTTCGACTATTTCTTCCGAGCTCTGGCCTGCATATTAGACTAAAATCGAATCACGTAGTTCGGGACAATTTTTGAACCCTAGAACGGCCAAAAACTCTTCCCCGACCAAAAAAGAACACCAAACCCTAGGGGGTCTAATGTCTTTAGCAAACCGTCTCGAGAGACTTTAAAAGAGCTTTAGTTACAAAATACCTTTTATCTATTGGGGAAAAAAAGATGTTTAAACAAAAATTCATACTATAAAAGTAAATATTTTCTAGAAGATGTTATCGCATGTTCACGTTATATTTTGTAAAAGATTTATCGGAAAAACAATCCGAATTTTGTTTTTTTATTCAGATCAGCCCGGTACATAAAACAAGTACCAAGGTTGGATTTTCACAGAAAATCCCAGTACTTCCTTAAACGGCAGACGCCAAGCTTCTGCCAGAAAGAAAAATAAATTCTATATTAAAATTTTATTTGGTTTAAAAACCATGTTGTTCGAATTATATATTCTAAAAAAAAGAACAGTGCAGGACACTTATTTATTTTATAAAAAATTTAAAAAATTTATTTTCAGGTTATTAATTGACCCCGGTGATTGAACAAAAAATCGCTTTATCGAATAAAAAGAATAACATGTAAATAAGGTCTAGTCATATTTTATAGATTTTTTTTTTTATAATTTAATGTTAAAACGCTTATTGGAATAGTGATATCGCCTTATGTGAATTTAATAAATGTCATTTTATTTAAATAATTGTTGATTTATGAAAGCCGATGTGGACTAACTCCTGTGGTTTGTAGGTTTAAAGAAATGTTTAATAAATATTTTTTATGTTTTTCTCTCGTTTTTGTTAGAAACCCTTTGCTTTATGGCAGAGAAGAAAAAGGGCTTGTTTTCCAATATTTTGAATTTACTGAATGTATTCTCCAAGTCCTGATCCTCCATCTCTAAAGTACCACATCATCTCAAACGAACTTCAACAATTTTCCAATCTTTGACAAACACTAACCAATTCTGACCATCTCTTACCGTTCATAACCAACTCTCTGACCATATGGAACCCCGCTCAAGAGCGGATCAAAAGATCCGATACCATCACCTGGCTGGTGGCCCATTCGAAAATTCAAGTGAGCTGTTTTGATCCGATCCTTAAAAAGAGCAAACCATTCCTATATTCCATGAGAATATTCAGAGCCTGCCTAGTGTGGAACTACATTCCTAAAATATGGTGAGAGATACGAGTGGTGTACATACCAAAAGTATGACCCATCGACTACGAGCCCAACTCGTGCAGACCTCATCATTCATGTTAAAAACAAAAAGGTAGAGGACCACATTCGAGAAACAGCACTGAAGGACAAACTTCTCAATGAGCGACGATTCGCATAGCAACCAGGGTGATCCACACAGCTAGCCCTGGATGACCTGTGCCAATCAAGTCCATGAACAGACAAGGAGATAGCTGTTACACTGTTTTATGAAAATAGAGGGAGCTTTCAATGCAATCAAAAAGCAGGGGTTTCGGAAAAGATATGCCAATGGGTGAAAAAGGAGCTGAGGAACAGGATAAACGCAATTACCTTGAGCAGTGCAACCATCCAGGCTAGGACAGGGGGGGTTCTTTCATCCCTACTGTGGATGACGCTGGTAGATGAACTACAAACTGGAATAAGAAGAATTTTATTGTCTAGGCTATGTGGACGACCTTGCAGTAAAGGTCTTGAAGACATCGTGATGGATCGCATACGAGTCCTCAACCTGGTTGATATGTGGTGCAAAAGGAAGGAGCTATATACTATTAGCCCCACAAAACCAAAAATTGGAAAGCCCCACAAAATAGGAAGCCTTAAAACTATGAGAGACCTCGGTCCCATTTTCAAGGAAGCCTGGGATCACACTAGACCAGCAGCTATACGGAATCAACATTTACCTAAATTCTCCCAGATAGCCAAAATTGCCTGGGGGAGTGGAAGAAGGCTCTGCGCCAAACACTGGGAATTAACCTTCAAAATGGCTATACACCTGCGCCTTAAGGTCGATGTTGACATTTGGGTCAGTGGTATGGTGGACCAAGATTCTGCGGGCCAAAGCACTCAGCTATTAAGTGGCACCCAAAAACAAGCTTGTCTCAGTGTCATTTGAGCCACGAGCACTACACAAACCACTTTATATTTTAACCCAAGGAGAAGCAAGAGTAGTAGCCCACAAGCACATAAATGGTCAACTAGATGCAAGGATAGGCCATGTAATAGAAAATGAAAATTGAGGGAGTAGATACAGGCAGATGCCATATTAGACAAGTCAATCAATGCCACTATTCCAAAATACAATTTTACTAAAAAAATGCAAGGAAAAACAGAAGGGGAAGAGTGGGCCAATGGAACACGGCTAAAGGCACACTCCTACTCGTACATTGACGGCTCAAAACCAACAAGGGGGATGGAGTCTTTGGGAAGAATTCAAAGACCGAACTGAAGGTAAATATGATATAGTTTTCCAGTCTGAAATCATAGCGATTCAACAATGTGTCAGCAAAATAAAAAGGCTAGGAATATTCTCAGCCAGACAGCACTTAGGGCCCAAGCCTCATGCGAGACAAAGGCAAAGAGTGTTTGGAACTGCATGGAAGCCCTGACGGAAGTGACATTAATGACCTGACCCTGAGATGGGTCCCCAGGCATTCAGGGGCATAGAGGCAATGAAAAGTTGACATTTTGGCCAAAGAGAGAACCAACATGGACTCTCTAGGTACTTAACACTACTGTGGCCAAGCATCTTGCCAGAGGATACATATCAAAATGGTTCCTTAATGAGTCCAAAACCTGGTGGAACAATACCACAGGCATTGCCAAAGAGATTCATAGGAGGGCCTTCCATAAAACTTACAAAGGATATACTGGAAGGAAACTGCAACCGAACAAGAATTCTGGTTGGACTCCTAACAGGGCACTGCCAATTAAGAAAGCACATGTACTGGATAGGAGTACAGACAGAAGAAACACTGTGCAGATACTGCCAGGAAGAGGAGAGACCGCAGAACACATTTTATGTTTCTGGAAGGTCTATGTAGGTGCAGGTTCTTGCAAGTAGGACAGGAAAAGCCACCAGCAAGATCCTACTCTAAGGAGCCACTGTCAAGGATATGGAGGTTGATTAACAACCTGAAGCTGGCCATTTTGTTATAAAAAAAAAACAGTGTAGCACAGTAGATTTGCTCAGGTCGAAGTGCAGTAGGTCTTGTGGCCACCTCTTTTATCCCTATCCCTACAGTTCATTATAAGCTGTAGCATTACCAAACCATCTCTAACCTCCCTTATCATTTTCAACCTATCCTGGTCACATCTACAATACCACTAAACCAGCACCACAGCACCAAACTATCACTGTCCACATAACATCCATGTAACTGTACCAAATTATATCTCCCTATTTAACCATGTCTGACCATCTCTAATAATACCAAATTATCTCTTGATATCCTTAGATATCTCTGACTGTATCAAATCATCTCTAACAATAGCAATCCATCTCTAACAGTATCGAACAATCTCTGACCACTCTATCTCTACCAAAAATATATAACAGTACCAAATTATCTCTAGCTATCCTTAACTATATCTGACTGTATCAAACCAGCTCTGGTATTACCAAACTATTTCTGACTAACCCTGACCATCTCTAACCTTGCCAATCATCTACCATATATCGAAGAATATCTTGTTCCAAACATCTTCGACCATTCCTGACCATAACAGTACCAAACCACCTCTGATTAAACTTAACCACCTCTTACCATTCATTACCTTCTGTAATAAACAATGCCAAGCGATAATTGAACCTCCTTAACCGTCTCATTCCTGATAGTACCAAATGATCACTAACCTTTCAGATCATCTGTAACATTCTCCAACCATCTCTAACATTCCCAAAACCAACTTTAATCTCTAACCTAATACAAACCATCCCTAATGTACCAAACAATCTGTAACCATCCCTGACCATAATAAACACTAACAAACCCTCTATACCGAAGACTAGGTCTATTCCTCCCATGCAACTTATAAAAGTTATTCGACCAAACGAAACCCAAACCAAACAAAAATCAACTGAAAATTGCAAAAACGTTGAAAAATATCTGACTGTACAGCGAGGCTAAACAGACTGAAATAATTGGTTACGACCAGGTTTCTAATAACTCGCTTTAAAGACAGAGAAATCTCACAAGCGGGATAATAGAATGAAAAAGTAAAACCATATCCATTCTGCTAAAGTTCTGCAATATCGAAACATTGATATTTTTAATTATTTTATATCGATTAATTAAATTGTTCAATTGATTGCAGGGGTAAAGGTTCGGTCTGTTTGGTAGATCCACACTGGGCAGAATAAAGGATTTATTTCTAGGATTCTATTCTAAGATAATTTTAGGGGTGAAGGTGTGAATATATAAAAAAAGTGCATACTTTTAAGAATAGATTTCTTATGATATAAAATGGATTTTTCTTTGTTTTATCACTTTTTTCTTTCTCTTTAATAAAAACAATTAATCCTTTATTTTTTCTCTCTCTCTCTTTTTTTAAATAATTCAGTCAATGTACTATGGTAATCCAAATTAGATTATTTTAATATAAAACATCAAAATTCAATTTGTCCATTCAATAATTCAAAAAAGTTAATCCCCGTTTCTTTATTATTCTTGTCAAAATATTTACATAGAAGGGATCCTTTCTTAAAACTTTTTTTTTACACAATATAATTCTTATTTTGGTTGACAAATAAAAAAAGAAGATCATTCCCGTTCTTCATTTGCCTTAAAAGTCTAAAGGAGAAATGTAAGGTTTGCTTCTTTTTTATATTCCTCTTATGAATAGATTTGAGGCCGCTTGACGACGAAGGGCTCCTTCAGGATGGCGCAGTCCTGGCGCAGGTACATTGGTTGATGTGTGCAAAATTCCGATCTCAACCTGCTCAAAGGATACCCGTTTAAATAAAATTTACAAAATCTAAATTTCAACTACGCACACTAATCTGCGTAAACGATAAACTGTTGTTGGTCATCGGCCATTTCTACTTTAACATAATGGTGCTGAGGATCTTCGGCAGACATCATGCTCTGCATAGTGGTGTTATTCCTCATCGGTGTTCTTGGCCTGCAAAAATAATTTAATGAGTTTATTTCAATAATTATAGAGATTTTACTTCTTACTTAGCCTTCGCATGGGTAAGAATGTGAGATTTAAGGTTGGTGGACTGGGCGAACTTTTTGTTGCATCCGTCAAAAGGACAGACGTATGGGCGGTCACCTGTGTGTATACGAACGTGCGTCCTCAGGTTGAAATCCAAGGAGAACCTCTTCCCACAGCCTTCAAAAGTACACTAAAAGCGGGGGGAAAAAATTATCGACTTATTAACTACAGGGTACTACCTTCAACTCACTTGAAAAGGTTTCTCCCCCGTGTGAACTAGCTGGTGGCGTTTTAGTTTGGACGATTCTACGAACGCTTTCCCGCATTCGGCGCATACATGAACCCTGGGCCCGTGTGTGTGTAGGTGTTTCCTCATCGCGGAATTGTCCCTAAACATTTTCGTACAGCCTTTGTGTGGACACGCGATCGTCCTGTCTATCCCGTCGTTGGCTTTTTTCATTTTGAGTTTATGGCCGGGCCTGGAATGGACAAAGAAGACAATTTTTTTCTGCAATCGAGGCACACAAAAAACTAGTAGATTTGGCAGAATCGCTTCTACCTGGCAAACTCGGCGAGCTGCTTGGGGTCTGAAAGATCGAGGCCTGGAATCGATTCAAGTCCACTTGTTATTTTTCTATCTGTCATATAATCCTCATAATCAGGATCTGGGTCTGGATTGCTGGCTTCGTCTAAAAACAAAAACAGAACTCTTTACTACTTTTAACAATCAACTTTGCCCAAAATAAACTATTAGTTCAATAATTATTCTTGTTATCTAAGGTTTTCGGTTGAAACGAAAAATTAGTGTCACGAGCAGAATTCAAACCCACGACCTTCGGTCGCTGCTGCTCTAACTGTGACTTCTATCTCCTCGGAATCCCGCTCGTAACACCAATTTTTCATCTAAACCAAAAACGTTAGATAAAAAGAATAATTAACTGGAATAATTAATATGGTCAATTATGACCACTAAGCAAATACGGATTAATTTGATATTATTATTATTTAGAAATCGTGAGATGCGGTCTGGTGTGATGTAGATTTCAGAAAAACATTTTCTTTATCATGCCAAAGTTTCGAACTTTATTGAGATCATCTTCTTCACTCTCAACACGACATGCAAGAATGGCACAATTACACAGAAGACAAACACTTTGAGTGAGTAGAAATACTTTGATTGAATATAAAAAATATATTTTGCATTGTATAAATTCACTTTTCCCATCCTAAATGTATTTGTTAAATGTAAATGTTTGTTAATCCCAGGCCCTGAAGATGATCTCAATAAAGATTGAAACTTGGTTATTCAGATATCGTGAGATGCGGTCGGATGTAAAAAAAAAAAAAAGATTGAAACGTTGGCACGATAAAGAAAATGTTTTCTGAAACCTACATCACACCAGTCCGCATCTCACAATTTCTGAATAATTATCAATTAACAGTCACTAATCACTACACATTATTATTATTATTATTATAAGTTGCAAACACCCACGCTGCCCGGTAACCACATTCACTTCAACATTTTCTTTGCGCGCTCCCGACATAATTGAATCAGTCATTTTGAAAAGGGGCCACCCTCCAACTTTTCAAATTTTGCAGGAAAAAACAAAAAAGTATTATAAAGTTTAAATTTTGTGAAATTATTACCAATCTTTTTTTTTTTTTTTTCCCCCTATAGCAAAGGGTCTCGTCGAATATAAACAAGTTGTTCTGGACAATTTTAACCCATTCTGGTCCACAGGAAAATTAATTTTTCATGAGAGGAATGACGTATTTTCAAAATCACAATTTTTTTAAAGTATATTTTCAGACTTCATGAAAGAAAACAGTTTAGGGATGGTTAGGGAATATAAAATTAAATTAAATTAAAATTAAATTTAAAAAAATAAAATTAAATTAAATTTGGTTGAGGGAGTTACAGGAAAAACCTAGAGCAGTAGGAACTTGTTCTGGGTTATTTGCATTTTTTAACTAATTAACAAATTAAATAAGTAGTAATAATTTGATTTGGCGAAAACTTGCCAGTAGAAATAACCCCCCCCCAAAAAAAAAATCATTAAAAAAGTAAATAAACAGCTATGGCTTGTGGAGCAGAATTTTTTTTTATTTTGCTTTTGATTCTTATAAATATTTTCAGTAAAAGGAAAGGTTTTTCCAACTGGCGTCAAACTATTCTTAAATAATTCTAAATGTTTTACTGTCACTTTTTCTTACAAAAATCTATTTTCCACTCTTATATGTTTAATCACAGCTTGTTAAACACAGCAACTTGCATTAGAAATCTTGAAACCATCATTGATGGTAATCTTACGTTTAATCTACATTTACAAGAAATCAAAAATTGCTCCTTTAAAATGCTTGTCTTGATCATCCAAAGTGCCTAACATTTCTAAAATCCTTCTTGCTATGTCCAGCTATATAATTCACTCATTCGACATTGAATACGCCTCAATCATCTGGGGAATCCGCACTGATATAAAACTTTTTTCAAATTGTTCAAAATAAATTCCTTCATACTGAATATTAATATTTCAAATTAAACTGTCACAATGACAAATCCTGTCATGCTCCTGTTAAATCTTACTTCAATATTTCTGATCTTAGCTGCTGAAGAAAGTATTTTGAGATTCAAATTAATTAATAATTTAATAGATTCCCTAGAAATCCTTGGTAAACTCCAATTTTATGTACATCCTTGCCACCTTAGAACTCAGAAAATATTTTTTATTAAATATAAAGGAACAAATTTTTCACTACCTCACCAATGCATCGCATTATGATAGAATGCAATACTATTGATTTATTTAATATTTCTGTTTCTTCATTAAAACGTCCGTTACATAAGGTATAATAATTTTATTTAGTTAAAAAAGTTAAAAATGTACTATGTATGTAGTTATAAAGCTCTATTATATTATTTATATATATATATATTTTATGATTCCTAGTTGTTATTATTATATAGACAAGGTGTTTAATTAAATCTTTATGCTGTTTTATTTATAAAGATTTTATTGTCTTTTTCATTGATGTTTTATTCTTCATTAGTATTGAGTTAGTTATAAGCATTGTATTGTATATTTTTTCTCCTTACTTTTTTTTAAAGAAATGTGACCCAATAAATAAATTTTAAAAAAGTTATCAGAATACATCCCTCAAACCAGGGATCACATTGACAGGGATTTTTTTAGCTAACAAGAACATTATATAAGGTATTAATTGCTTAAAAAAATATTGGTTGTTTTTTCCAAATTCGTTAATTAAATTTTCCTTCAGTAAAAAACAATTTTTAATCAATTTTAATGTAATTTGTAATAATAATAAAATAAAAATGCTAGGGAAAGTAAATACTACAAAACTGGCAACATCCCTGTTCATTTTTGCCCAGTTTATTATAAACGATCCGGTCGTGTATGAAAAAGGTGTTTATTTACATTGTGCGGATTTGTTTTTCTTTAAAACATGTTTAGATATTTTTATATATATATTTTTTTTTTACCAGTCTCTCATACGATTTAATTCATTCATCTTTCATAGATTATATTTCAAATTGAACTGTCACAATGATAAACCATCTCATGCTCCCATTAAATCTTACTTCAGTATTCGGAGATTATTTTTAGTTTAAAATTAATTAATAATTGTCTAGATTCCCCAGAAATCCTTGGTAAACTCCAATTTTATATACCTCCTAACCACCTCAGAAATCAGAAAATATTCTTAATATAAGCATAATAATTTTATTTATATAAAAAAGCTAAAAAAAAACTATAATATAATAAAGCATTATATGTATTATGTATGTAGTTATAATGCGTTTTTTTTCTATAATTCCAAGAAATATTTTTTAATTAAATCTTTATTTTGTTTTATTTATAAGGTTTTTATTGTGTTTTTCAATGATGTGTAGTATTGTGTTTTATTCTTTATTAATGCTGAGTTAGTTAGTTATAAGTATTGTATTGTATTTTTTTTCTTGTTACTTTTTTAAGAAATGAGTTTTTGACCCGTAAAACAAATTTTTAAAAAAGTTATCGGAATACAACCCTCAAACCAGGGATCACATTGGCAGGTATTTTATTTATTAATTTTTTTATTATTATTTTCATTTTATTTTATTTCTATTTTTTTAGCTAACAGAGAACATTATATACAGTATTAATTATTTTTATGTAAATAAAATGAACAAAAATATGGAATTTTTGTAAGGGACCTCCTTGTCACTTCAGAAATAATAAAATATTTTTTATTGAATATAAAGGAACAAATTTTTATCATCGCATGATGATAGAATGTAACATGCGATACTGTTAATTTATTTAATACTGCTGTTTCCTCGTCCAAATGTCAGTTACTTAAAGCATAATAACTTAGTTTTAAAAAAAGGAAGCTAAAAATGTACTATGTATGTAATAATACTTTATTATATTATGGCAATATCACTGTTCATTTTTGAGCAGTTCATTATAAATGATTAATTATGTTGAAAAATATGTTTAATTCCATTGTATTGATTTGTTTTCTTTAATAAAAAAAAAGTCTCCCATACGATTTAATTCATTCCATATTTCTGATCTTAACTGTTCAAGAAAGTATTTTAAGATTATTTTTATTATCAAATTCATTAATAATTGTGTAAATTCCCCAGAAATCCTTGATAAACTCCAATTTTATGTAACTCCTTGCCATCTCAGAAATCAGAAAACGTTCTTAATATAAGCGTAATAATTTTACTTAGTTAAAAAAAAGCTTAAAATGTACTATATATGTATGACAGTGTTTAATTAAATATGTTGTTTTATTTATAAGATTTTTATTGTCGTTTTCATTGATGTATAGTATAGTGTTTTATTCTTTATTAGTATTGAGTTAGTTATAAGCAGTGTATTGTACTTGTTTTTTCTCCTTGCTTTTGTGTTTTTTTTTTAAGAAATTAGTTTTTGACCCATAAAAATAAAATAACGATAATTTCATATACCTCCTTGCTACCTCAGAAATGAGAAAATATTCTTAATATAAGAATAATAATTTTATTCAGTAAAAAAGCTAAAAAGTACTATATATGTAGTTGTAATGCTTTATTATATTTTTATTAAATATTTTTGTATAATTCCTAGTCGTTATAATTATATAGATGGGGTGTTTAATCAAATCTTTATGTTGTTTTATTTATAAGATTTTTATTGTCTTTTTCATCGATGTATGGTATATTGTTTTATTCTTTATTAGTATTGAGTTAGTTACAAGCATTGTATTGTGCTTGTTTTTCCCCTTGCTTTTTTATTTTTATTTTAAGAAATGAGTTTTTGACCAATAAAAATAAAATAACGATCATTTTATGTACCAACTTGTCACCCCAGAAATCAGAAAATATTTTAAATATAAGCATAATAATTTTATTTAGTTAAAAAAGCTAAAAATATACTATGTATGTAGTTATAATGCTTTATTATATTTTTTGTATAATTCCTAGTTGTTATTATTATATAGTCAGGGTGTTTAATTAAATCTTTATGTTGTTTTATTTATAAGATTTTTATTTTATGTGTGGTGATTAGTGACCGTTAATCGATATTTATTTAGAAATCGTGAGATGAGGTCTGGTGTGATGTAGTTTTCAGAAAAACATTTTCTTTATCGTGCCAACGTTTCGATCTTTATTGAGATCATCTTCAGGGCCTGGGATTTACAAACATTCTTTACATTTAACAAATACATTTAGGAAGTGGAAAAAAGTGAATTTATACAATACAAAATATATTTTTTTATATTCAATCAAAGTATTTCTACTCACTCAGTGTTTGTCTTCTGTGTAATTGTGCCATTATTGTGTGTCGTGTCGAGAGTTGAGGCACAATTACACAGAAGACAAACACTTTGAGCCCTGAAGATGATCTCAATAAAGATCGAAACGTTGGCACGATAAAGAAAATGTTTTTCTGAAAACTACATCACACCAGACCGCATCTCACGATTTCTAAATAAATATTTTTATTTTATTTTTCATTGATGTATAGTATAGTGTTTTATTCGTTACTAGTATTGAGTTTGTTATAAGAAGTGTATTGTACTTGTTTTTTTCTCCTTGCTTTTGTATGCTTTTTTTTTTTTTTTTTTTTTTTTTTTTTAAGAAATTAGTTTTTGACCTTGAATCTTCTTAATATAAGCATAGTAATTTTATTCAGTTAAAAAAACTAAAAAGTACTATATATGTAGTTATAACGTTTTATTATACATATTTTTTACATACATTTTTGTATAATTCCTAGTCGTTATTATTACATAGACAGGGTGTTTAATTAAATCTTTGGTTTTTCATATTTATTCGGATTTCATTGTCTTTTTCAATGATGTTAATGTATTTTTATTTATTAGTGTTGTTTAACCCATAAAAATAAAATAACGATAATTTCATATACCTCCTTGCTACAGCAGAAATGAGAAAATATTCTTAATATAAGCATAATAATTTTGTTCAGTTTAAAAAAAAAAGCTAAAAATGTACGATATATGTAGTTATGTTTTATTTTTTTTATATATATATATTTTTTTTTATAATTCCTAGTCGTTATTATTATATAGTCAAGGTGTTTAATTAAATCTTTATGTTGTTTTATTTATAAGATTTTTATTTTCTTTTTCATTGATGTATAGTATAGTGTTTTATTCATTACTAGTATTGAGTTTGTTATAAGCAGTGTATTGTACTTGTTTTTTCTCCTTGCTTTTGTATGTTTTTTTTAAGAAATTAGTTTTTGACCTTGAATCTTCTTAATATAAGCATAATAATTTTATTCAGTTAAAAAAACTAAAAAGTACTATATATGTAGTTACATTTTATTATACATATTTTTTACATATATTTTTTTGTATAATTCCTAGTCGTTATTATTATATAGACAGGGGGTTTAATTAAATCTTTGATTTTCATATTTATACGGATTTTCAATGATGTTAGTGTATTTTTATTTATTAGTGTTGTTTAACCCGTAAAAATAAAATAACGATCATTTCATATACCTCCTTGCTACCTCAGAAATGAGAAAATATTCTTAATATAAGAATAATAATTTTATTTAGTTTACAAAAAAGCTAAAAAAATGTACGATATATGTAGTTATAACATTTTATTATACATATTTTTTTATATATATTTTTTGTATAATTCCTAGTCATTATTATATAGTCAAGGTGTTTAATTAAATCTTTATATTTTTCTTTCCAAAAGGTAGATTGGAGATGAGGCCACGAAGACAGACACAACATTCATTTTTTAAATTTAAATTTTTAAATTTAAATTTTTTTCTGTCTTCCTGGCTTCATCCCTAATCTACCTTTTGGAAAGAAAAATATTGCTTGCTGAGAAGGCTGATCAATCACAAACGAAAATATTAAATCTTTATGTTGTTTTATTTATAACGATTTCATTGATGTATAGTGTTTTATCCTTTATTAGTGCTGAGCTAGTTATAAGCATTGCATTGCATATATTTTTTCTCTTTACTTTTGTATTTTTTTGTTTTTTTTTAAGAAATGGATTTTTGACCCGTAAAAATAAAAACAATTTTATGTACCTCCTTGTCACCTCACAAATCAGAAAATATTCTTAATATAACGATAATAATTTTATTTAGTTAAAAAAAAAGCTAAAAATGTACGGTATAATGTTTTATTCTATATTAATGTTGAGTTAGTTACAAGCACTGTATTGTATTTTTTTTATCCTTGTGTACGTTTTTTGTTTTTTTTAAGAAATGGGTTTTTGGCCCATAAAAATAAAATAACGATAATTTTTGTTTCTCCCCCCACCCTATGCCTTCTGATTAGCTTAGATTTTTTCAGATGATTTTTTTTGTCTTATTAATGTTTTTTAATATGTTGTTCACTTTATTATTATTTTTTTGTATGTTTTTTGTTTAATTTTCCTCATTGGAAAAGTAGTTGATTTGTTTCGACGGGAAAAGCGTCTGGTATGACGATCCGTTTGGGTCGTATGCAAGATGGCGTCGTTCGCCTGGCGTTCCGCCATGGCAGGCGAAGCGGCCATGTTACATTTTATAAAGGAGCCATATTGCAAAATAATAATGGCAGCCTCCTGATAGCCTTCATGAGGGCGAGAACCAAAACAAACCGAAATCAAAATAATAGAGCCGGCCCGGGCGGAAAGACGGTGTCGGACCGTGGACCGGGCCCTCGAGCCAGAGGCACTCGGCCGGATATCGATCCGTGACGTAAAGCGTCTCCGGAACACCTACGAAATACTTAAAAAGACCAAAAAAAACCATGGATCACTCACCGTCGTCTGTGCCGGAAGCCCACATGGTAACGGAAAATTCACCTTCTAAAGTCCTTATCTGCACCTGTTTTTGTTCCCACTTTCTCGTCTTGGTCTCTGTGATTTCGGCGAACTGGTCCGAGGCGCGGAACCGCTGGGCTTTTTTCGGCTTTTTAACGCCACGTTTTGAAGGTCCGGGGCTGGAGTCGACGTAAAGCTCGGCCTCTTGGACCGGTACGATGTGCTGGTCGTAGACGGCCAGGGGGTCGACGGCGCCGACGATCTCCTCCTGGGAGTGGAGGATGATCTCCTCCCGTTCGCCCTGGAGGCCCTGGAGCGCGATCATCTGCGGCCCGTCGACGCACTCGATCGTCGTCTCGACCGTCTCGCACGGAATTTCCACCGGGATCGTCTCGATCTCGATCTCCTGGATGTCCGGCTGAATCTCAACATCCGCGTAGTCGACCGACGCCATATTTGCGACTGGTTGACGAACGACTTAGTACACCGAGCAGTCTGGCCAACCTACCGCCCTTCCGTCCCTCCAACTACTACAAAAACAACATTTACCTTTAAATATTATTTTAAACCTCTTTCCCACATTTCTTTTTTATTAAAACCACAAGAGAATTTAACCCTTTAACTTTTATTTAAAACAAAATCTTTAAAAAAAAAACTGCTTGCGAATTCAAAACCCTACTCAAGACAAACATTAACGTACATTTTTACTAAATTCCCTCTAACACAATATTCCCCAAAAAAATTAATTTAAACATTCAATTAATACCAATCAATTCAATCAATTTCATAAAAAAACATGAACAGCCCTAAATCCATGTTATGGAGGGGCCGCTCGCCATTTTCTTTTTTTGACTGATAAATTCCCTCATTAGTTTCACTTTTTATTAATTTATTTAACGGAAGATATCCTAATTTCAGAATTAGAAATATCGACCAGTTTTTCACTCCGGATCAAAGCATGGTCTCTGGGCCCTGAACACTATTGTGGCTTAGCAGCCTGCCACAAAAGAGGATACATCTTAAAATGGATCCTTAATGAGTCCAAAACCTGGTGGAATATTACCACAGATATGAGGCACGCGAAGAGATTCATAGAAGGACCATCTGGAAAACTTACAATGCAATTACTGGAAATCAACCGAACCAGGGTTCTGGTTGGACTCCTGACAGGGCACTCCCACTTAAGAAAGCACAAGCACCGAGGAGTACAGACAGAAGAAACGCTGTGCTGCAAGGAAACACTGCAGAAGAGGAGGAGACTGCAGAACACATTTTATGTTTCTGTGAAGGCTGGCAATAATAATTGGTTGAGAGGATGAAAATCACGCTTCAGAGATGCTGCTTATATGACATTTGATGTAAAACTTATTGTCATCGGCATAAAGATGAAATTGGGAGAAATTAAGAACTAACAGAAGATCATTTAGAAACATAGAAAAGAGTAAAGGTCCAAGAATAGAGCCTTGGGGTACACCAGCTGAAATTGAGAGAGAAAAGGAGATAAAATTTGAAACTTTAACTCTCTGAGTTCTGCCAGACAGTTAGGAGGACATGATATTAGTAGCAGTAGAAGAAAAACAAAAAAGATCAGTTTCTAAATAAATTATGATTTACAGAACCGAATACATTGGAAAAAGCAAATAGAACAATAATAGTACACTTATGAGCAGGAAATGAAGTTTGACATTTTAAGATTAGCGTCAGGCTAAAACAATCTTAAATATGTGAACAGAATGACAGATTTAAGTTTTTACAGGCGATCTCAAATTTTGAAAAATGTCTCAGTCCCAACATTGCCAAGGACAGTATTGAATATTGTCTTGAGTCAAACCGTAGAAATATTTTATATAGTTGTGCACTGATGATGACTTTAAAATAGGTCTTGGCAGTAACAACTGAATTTGCTTTCTTCTTCAAGACCATACCTTGATACGGAGTGTTCTTAATATCATAACAAATATATATTTTTCCAAAGGAATATATTAGTACATTTTCCAAGGAATACATTAAAAGTATTTTATTGTATTTAAGCATTATATATTTGCATATACAAGGGATGCAAATTTTGTTTTTTCTCTTATATTTAAGTAGACATATTACAGTCAATAATTTATCAATTCCAAAATATCTACAATACTATATCATATTAACTAACTAATACTATATCATATTGAGGGATAAATTTGATTGGCAGGGGTCTTTAGGGCAGATTTTTTTTTTTTTTGCACCAAAATTGTCCTGGGTTTGGACCCTGGCTTTGCTATTGCAATTTCAGACTATTTGAAGTTTCTATTTACTCTTTATTGCCCAAATATTGAAAAATAGTAAATATATCCGATTGAGGTGTAAATTTACATGGCAGTGGTCTTTAGGCGTTTTTGTTTTTTCCACAAAAATCCTAAGTATAGATCCAGGCTCACTTCTTGGCCCTTTCTTGTTTACACACTTTATAAACAATATTTCCTGTTTTTCCACATTATTTGACACTCTTAATTGACAATAGATCTTCATGTCAATAGAATGCATCGATTATTCTTGACAAAATTCAGTAACCAAAGTACCAAGATAAAATATTCCATGAATTCATCCTGAATAAATTATATAATTATCTTTAGTGATAAAAAAAAGATTTTTTTGTCCCTTATGTTGTTCCTCAAGGCTCACTTTCTTGTTTAAACACTATGAACTACATTTCCTCCTGTTTTTCCACATCATTTTGAACTCTTTGCTGACATTTAGATTCCAGCGAATGTTATTCGCTATATGTTGTTAACAAAATTCTCTAACAGAAATAATAAAATTTTCTACAATGTAAAGAAAAGTAAATTTGTTAATGATAAACCTTGTAAAATGTCAGTGTGTAGTTGTAAATGGGATTTTTCCTAATGAATGAATATCAGGCAAAACGGAAACTCCAAGAACACACATTCTAGCTGCATTAGATAATAAAAATAATAACAGATTGGATTTACTCTCCACCCAGATGATACAGTTATGTTAAAAACATTATGAAATGAAAGTGGGTGGCAAGTTGGAATATTGTATGAAAGTAAGCCAGTTGCACATAAATGACCAACTGAAGAACTTGAGAGAAAAGAATTTGTGTTCTCTCTAGATTGCAAATATGTTGCATCAGCCATAATAGGCTTTTAATAGACAACAATCTTCTAACTTATTCTCGATGTATTCGAAGTTGAGAATATATCATTCCGACTGTAAAACATATTTTATGTACATACATAACCCTTTAGGCAAAGGCTCAACCTTTCGAGTGATTTGAAGTAGTTCTAGGTCCTCAGTGTTCATTTCGAAAAGCACTTTTCAGCTTTCTTAAATTTTTGGAATTTACAATGAGATTTAGGCCTTTACCCAAATTCTTTGAATGTTTGTCCGCTAGTGTTTGAATGAGTGTTCTGCGTGCAAGTTCTTTTTTTTTTCTGGAATTTTTGAGGCCGCTGGAGCGGAAAAATGAATTAATGAAAATACAAATTGCGGGGTAATAAACTACAATGCCCAAAATCGCAGTTAAAATAAGATAGCGCCCTCGGAAAAAAAAAAAAAAAAAAAATTGTTTTTTGCATACATTTGGCCTGCCAAATTAAGTATTTTAAAATGATAAATTAAAGCTTTGGATTAGTTTATGAGTGAATTTTTGGAGTCAGAATTTTATAGCACTCAGAAGGGATATAGCTAACCTAAGATAGAAGGTGAATGTTAGGGTGTGAAATGAACTTAGCGACAAAACGCCCTTAAAAATTAATAATAATAACATATTGGAATGGCTATTTAAATATTAAATTGTGAGATAGAGTTATGGCTAATTGGTAATAAGAAAAAAAGTGAGATATCCTCTTGTCGTCTGTACTCGGTCGAGTGTTGACCTGCAATTTGGTCGTTTCTGATCATTTAAGTCTGCCTGTCCTCGATGTTTGGGCCAGGTTCACTTTAGTGGGTTTTTCATTGAATAGAAAAAGTTGCAAACATTCATTAAAGACTGTCTTTACATTTGCAGATTCACTATTATATTTTTTTGTACATAGATACATAGATTTATTTAACACATGTGTGGGAAAAAAAATGAAATCTGAAAAAAATTAAAAACATGTGAGCCGTGATAGTCTCATGTTTTTTTTTTTTTTTTTTAATGGCTTAAGAATTTTTGAAAATCCATATTTTTTGTTAGAACAATTTTGCAAAAGAAACACACATGCATGTAAGTGTTTTTGACTTTACAAATAATTTTATATTATTAAAATAATCATTTGACTTTTCTTTTTTTTTCTTTTTCTTTTTTTTTTAGTTGACCATTTGTTAATTTATAGCAGGGACATTTCTGAAGGGGGACCAGCCCACTTTCCCAAGAAGGATATCACATCAGCAAGGGAATTGTCCGTCGGGTGCATCCTAGACGTCATCTGGAGAGCCGAGTAGTCTTCTGTGTTCGCCGCTCCTCTCCTGAATCTGACGTGTTTATGAAGGACGGGATACCCCGTGACGAGGCAGGGCTGGGCCGGTGCGCCGGACAGTCCTGTGAGAGAGGCCGGGTACACGCCACGGTCGTCAATAGGCAGGGCCATGTCGACGCTCCGATCGACAGAGACAGATAAGACCCAGTCTTTCACCGCTTCTATCTCGTCTGACCGGAGATAATTGCTTTCCGGAAGCGGGACCTGCTGTGGGAAATCTGTCACCAGGAGGTCTGAGTGATCGATAGCTCCTCCTCCGTCTTCCATGGCCTCGATCACATCAAGACAATGATTCAAAAAGACAAACGCATCTGTGTTCATGCCAACTTCCTTTAAAAACAAAATAAAAATAACTACCATATAAATAATTTTTAAATATTTTTACCTTAGCGTCCATCCCTGCTTCAAAATATGCCTTATCTGCCGGTATTATGTCTGAATAGCGCAGTAAAGATATTGAAATCTTTGCCACCAGTTTGTCCGTATTACTCAGATATCTTAAAGCGCTTCTCAATGCATAATAATGCCCGATCATCATGATCGTTTCAAATTCTGTCTGCGTCGGTGTATTCGCATCCGGAGTGTTACTCATATTTTCCGTCTGAAATCGACACAATTAAATTTCTTTTCTGTTTTTTTAATAAAAATTCACTTACTATTTCAAAAAAGAGATCTCTCAGCTTAGCCCAGGATTTGTACGTTTCTTTACTTGTATGCGTCGATATGACTTGAGAAGCTATCGTCCTGTAAATGTTGTAGTTTTGAGGTAAAGGAGCCGCTCCGTGTTGGGCATAAAGGTCCAACGCTTTCATCGCAGAACCAGACTACAAAACGATTCCCTCTTTTACAACAAAAATTTCGAATAAAATAAGTTATACCTTGATCAAATGAGCGGCGTAAAGTGCGAGGTATTTGTTAAGAACGTGTATTCCGTTCGACTTCGCCATGTCTATAGCTCTCTGCCATTGTCCTTGTTCACAGAGCAAATCAAGTCCTGAAATAATATCGACATCCGCCAACTGATCCGCCCTGCCCTGCGACCTCAACGACTCTTTATACCTGCTCTCTACGTAGGGCTCAAAACTAAAGAAATTATTTTTCAAATAGAATTTTATTTAAAGAAATTATTAACAAACCTCGGTTCAATGTCTTTGACTATTTTTAAAGCCTTCTGCCAATCCTCGTTCGCTATTAGAGTATCTAGTGCTTCTTTCACCATGTCCACCGCCATGTAAAGTTGAGCTGCCATGTTGTGCTGTTTCATTTCAACCAATCTTGCACCTGAAATAGTAATTTTTTTTATTGATATATTTTAGACTTTTAATTATAATGATGAAGATGAAGTAAGGAGGATGACATAAGTCGAAAGCTTAACAACAACTCTTTATTCCATTATTTTGAACTAACCTAAAATCCGAGTCACCTCTGTCGCTTCATCCCCGTCTAAATAATTATTTGTGATTCTTGCAGCTTCTGTCAATGCTTTCACGATCGTACTAGCATCTTGACAATTAGATACATTTACCTATAATCAAATATTGTTGATGAATTTACCATTTATCTATGAAAGAAAGTAGACTTAGTTTTCTACATTATATTTCTTGATTTTTCGACCATCCTCAGCAGCCATTTTTATATTTTTATGATTACAAGAATATGCTCAATAATTAATGATGATGAGGCATAATTTGAGATGTTAAGAATTTTATTCAATTTATAAGAAAGGTTTTTAATTATAAAAGTAACACACAGCTGAAATGTCGACGGAGGTGTTAAAGAATGTAATGTAGAAAACACAAACAGGCCGTCTTTCTTCCTTGGACGAACTCTCAAAGAACAAATACTGAAAAATGGAATTTGTGTTCAAACCTTAAGGTAGCACTTGACAGCAGTTATATATTGCCCGCTTGACTCCCATTGTTTCGCTTCGTTTAAAAGTATGGTCACATCACGAGCGCCTCTGTTTCCGACCATTTTGTCATACTCGGCTTGCACTATGGCCAGTTTGGTCGGTAAATAATCCCGACAGACACGCAACGCTTCCATCCACATGCCAGCATCCTTTTTACGAATATATGTTTATATGTTTTTTTTTTTTTTTTAAATCATAAACCGACCTTGTACATTTGAACAATCGCTTCCGGCTTGTGTGCCCTTAGGTTGAGCGTTTCGAATTTTTCAAAGTTTTTCATTCTGAATTCATCCGTCGCTTGGGCATGGAGGACTTCCTGCATGAGAGTCTCGTTCTTAAGCGTCTCGGCCAGGCGTTCGGCGTCGTCCCATCTCTTGTGATCCATGTACATCATGACGGCGTCCTTGACCTTCCCGCTTTTGAGAAAATGCTGTTCGGCAAGTTTCAACTCGTCCTTCGCTTCAAGATACAACGCGTATTTATGATGGATCTCAGCCATTTTCGTTTTCAACCCAGTTTTTGCCAGGTCGAATGCAAACTCAAACTAACAAAAAAAAATTTAATATTACAAGCTTTGAATCGTACAAATTTATGCGTTAAAAGACCTGATTGCTATCACAAGCGTATTCAATACAAGGAGACAGCAGATCGTATCTGTTCAGCAATTTCACAGCTGAATCTCCACCTAAGCTCTTTGCCCATGCAAAAAGCACGTGTCGCGCAGATTGTTCTCCTCCTCCTTGCTTCGCCACCTAAAAATGCACATTTTTTAAATTTAATTATTCATTTTAATTAAAATCCAATGAAATTATTTACTTTGTAAGCTTGTTCCCACATTCCATGAGACCTGAGCATATTGACTGCTGTCGTCCATTCCCCGGCTGCTACATACAGTTCTTCAGCGCCTATAAAATTATTCAAATAATTAAAAATTCACCGGTTAATTTTTAAACAAACCGACCCAAGATGTTTCCCTCGTCTTCTAGTTGTTTTGCTAAATGGAGATTCGTCATGTTCAAAAGATCAGATCTGTACTCTTTAACGAGTTTAAGCATCTGGAATAATACCATTGTTTTAAAAACAACTTAAAAATGTTAAATCGTAAATTGTTTTACTTGATCATGCTGCCTTTGATTTTTATACATGGCTATTGCCGAATCGACTTGCCCTGCAAGTACGTAAAGCGTCTCGGCATCTTTATACTTTCCCATCGTCTCACATTCCTGAGCCTTTCTCAGCATTATTTCGTTCAGGAGGCTACTTTCCAAATGAGCCGATGCAAAATTGTAAGCCTTCTCCCACTCGCCTGTAATTAAATCATTTTATATTATTTCTTTTCTTGGCGTGTGCAATTTTTTTTTTTTTTTTTTTAACAGACCGGCATCAAAATACATTTTCACACCATCTTCCGGCCTTCCGGCCTGTATGAAAAGTTTCTCGGCGACTTGATAGTCCTTCACGGAAGCAAAATGTTGACAGAGTTGAGCGTAATGTGTCGCCACTGAGCTGATATCATGCACCGCCTGAAATTTTTTACAATTAAAAATTTGTTTTGGTCGTGGTGTGGGTTTTTTTTTTTAACCTGAAGAATTTGAACTGCTTTCTTCCACTGTCTTGCTACAATGGCAGCGTCTAGTGCTTTCATGGTCTTCCCCGATTCGATATAATGGTTGATAGCTGCATCAAGCTGCTTACTCTGGAGCAAATAATCGCCCCATTCTTCTTCCAAAGCGACCACGTCTGAAAAAAAAAAAAAAAAAGATCATCGGTGTGTTTTAAGATTTGGCATAAGCTATCACCTTGCGGTGCGACAAATCGTGCCAAGTGTAGCGCTGTGGCGAAAGCGTTTCCTTTTCTGTAACACTGCATCGCTCTCATGTTGTCGCCTGCAGCTTCGTAAACCTGCCCTGCTTGCTGGTAAAGCTCAGCTTTTGTCAGTTCTGCTGTGATTTTCTTCAGGAGCATCGAGTCTTCGAGCAATTCGGGCTTTGACACGACCAACCTGCAATAATCGGCTTAGAAAAAAAAATTTTTTTTTTGTGTTTGTAAGATTTTTATTCACCTTCCAGCTGCCGCGGGTAAACCTGCTGATAAGTAAAGGTCTATCGCTTCCGTATATTGGCCTGATTCTTGTTTTACCTGGCCGGCTTTCTCCTGCTGGCCTGTTTTCATTAACCAGATGACATATTCGTTCTTAAGAAGGCTAAGTTTTGTATAACCGCTGGCTTCAGCTAATGATATCGCTGTAAAAAATCAAAAACTTTGTAACAATCAATTTGATTTATTAGAAATTGTATCAGATTTTTTTTTTAATACCTTCGTCCCATTTATGAAGTTGTTTATACATGTCAAGCGCTTTGTCAAGTTGATTCTGTTCTAGATAAACTGCCTCGGCTGTTTTTAACTGTTTGTTCAGAATGGCCATTCTCGCCCATACCTCAGGACAATCCATTCCATCGCCGCCGTTCGTCCTGGCAAAATCCTCTGCGATCTTGAGAGTCTCGTTTAAAAAGTGAGTCTTTGGTATATCCCCGAGTGCAGCATAGCATCTAAAAGATTTAAAATTAAAGATTGAAATTTTTAACAAATATTTTTTCCACATACCTTAAAGCGACTCTAAGATTGTTCAGCTGTAATGTGATTTCGGCTAAATTGTGCCACATCGCTTCAGTTTCAGTGCTGCTGGGTCCGAGCGACTCGAGGAACAATATAGCTCTGCCGAAATCCGAATCGTGTACTGCAGTTCCGAACTCGACCAACCCTTCGTCGAGCTGATAGCCAACTTGATGAGTTCCTTCTTGAGCTACGATCTGAACAATATTTTGGTATTAAAATGAACACAGGTGTTCTACAACAAAAAAAATTCACCTCGGTTTTTTTATTCTCTCGTACAATGTCGACTATTTCCCCTTTCACTGGAAAATTTGTCACCCTTTCAGGCGTATCGATATTGTACCAGATGCAAGCGTTATTTCTAGACTGTGCTACAACAACATCACTCCCAGGGACCCACTAAAAACACAGAACAAGTTTAAAAAAATAAAATAAAATAACAAATTAATTAAAATTTTAAATAATTACTTGGACATAAGTGCAATAACTAAGGATGACTTGTCGTTCTCCCGTTCTTGTGTCCAATAGGGTCAAGCGCATTTTTTTATCCCTGAAAAGAAGTTTGTGACTCGTCTCGTTCAACTCGAGCCAGTCGATCTTCGAATCGTGCGACACTTGGAGCATCGGTATTCCAAATACAAGATCGACTGAATTTTAAAAATTATTAATAATTAAAAATTAATTAACATTAAAAATTAATTCACCAATGCAGATTGTTTTTCTGTCGAGCAGATAGGCCAGTTTTTTATTGTCATCTGTCGAATTCGGATGTTTCCTTTCGTTCAGTCGTACGCTTATTAGATGCGGATTCATAAACTCAGTCCTGCATTTTTCTCTCATTAATATTTATAAAATTAAATAGTTTAGGAAAAAACTACCTGACTGATGCTAATATTTTATTATTGCCGTATTCGACCAGAGTTAACTCGCCGACATTAAATATAAGACAGACGTTTGGATTGTCCAGGTAGAACTTTTCCTGGCTACCTGTGTCAGTCCAGTTCACCTCGCTCAACAAGTTTCTATGAAGATCTCCTTTATTTAAAAAAACCAAATATTTTAAAAAAGAAAATTTTTAAAAATAATAGATTTTTTACCTAGTAAAAGCGTTTCAGGGGTTCGTGCGACTAGATATCTATCGTTTCCTAGAATCCTTACATCGTCTATTTCATAACCAAATCTAGATCTTAATATGACGCCTCTGGAATTGTCATCTAGTGGTTTTACAAGGACCTGGCTTGCACCAACATACGTCAGTTCAAATTTGTTCTTCCAGATCATTCTCCTGCGATTTGAATGAAATTTAAAATAAGTTCAAAATAAGTGCGTTAGAAGGGGATTTACTTAATGACGGATTCGAATAGTTCGACGGAGCCGCAAAGCGAACCGCACGTGACCCTTGATCCATCTCGCTTCCAGCTTAAAGCAGTTATCGTATAAAGATTTTCAATTTCTTTAACCGGCATTTCTTCCCACATGACCTTCCTCGGGCTCCAAGTGTACGTTCTAATTCTAAAAATTTAAAAAAAAAATTATTTAAAATTTAATTTTAATTTTTTTTTTAGGTATTACCTGTTGAAACTTCCAACTGCGACAGCTTGCCCGCTGGGGCTGCATGCAGCGACTGTGAATTCCTTCTCATTGGCATAATCGAATTGTTTGAACAGATGGCCGTCGGTATCGTAAACTGCTACTTTCCTGTCACACCCTGCTGCAAGGACGAAGCCCCCGGTGGGCCATGCCAAAGCATAAGGAGGTGTTGTATGCATAACGACGCGACACTGGATTAAAAAGTTCAAATATAACGTTCGATTAAAATTCCTAATTTATGACATACTTGTTTTTCCATTGCGGAATCTTCTGCGACATAATATCTAATTATGCTGCCGTCAGCATGGCCGGATAAAAACCCCGTACCTCGCACACTGTTTATAAAATTTGAATTATTTCTTTTCAGCGATTTTTTTGTGATTTTAAATGCTCACTTTGAAGCGAGGGAAACTACGAAAGAATTGGCTGAAAATAGCGTCTGCGTCTTGTTGGACGCCAAATGGGCCGCTCTGACTTTTCCATCCGCCTGTCCGAATATGATCGGACCTTCGCTCAGCCATATCAGACAAGTCACAGGCGACTGCTGCGGGAATTTGGAACAAATGACTTTTTTGTCTCCCCTGAAATTAATATTTAAAATTGACAAAAATTGGATGGGGAATCGAAACAATTTCACTCTTACCAGTCGTCTCCAAGTTTGTAAATATATATTATATTATCTGTTTGTCCGACTGCTATTTTATTGGAATCGGGCGAGAAAGCCAACCCCTTCACTGTATAGCTCATACGGCCATTCTAATCAGATAATTTATTTTCAAAAATAAATTGTATTATTTTTTTATTTTAAAACTTACTTTTGAATTAGCCGGCTTTGTAGGAAATTTATCTTTTCTGTTTCCATTCTCGTCAAATAATAATATACACCTGTCATAATTGCACACGGCTAATTTCAGATTGTTCGGTGACCAAGCGATGGCAAGGATGTTCATTGGCGCATCCTAAAAATCAACTTCAGTGAATTTCCTCTGTGATTTTTTTTTTTAAATCTGTTTCACTTACTTTCGCCTGAAGTATGTTCCTTAAATGTTTCAACTGCATTGTGCGTCAGGGATGAGTGCAGCTAGTCAACCTTCAATGTTTGCTTATCCGCGACCATAGCGACCAGGGGTGAAGCACAAAAGACCAGCAAACAGGTTGCACAATATTGTCTATTCACACTCTTTAAACACTCAATATTACATACAGAATAACAAAAACCCACATGACTTTGCCTTGTGTGTTTTGTTTAAACAAAAAACAAAAAAATCTCATTTATTATAAATTTTAAGTTAAAATAAGGGAGATAACTTTCTTAGCAATGATTACTAATAAAATAATCATTTATGGTTTTTTTTAATACCATACAATGATCATTAATGAAAAACTCAATAATCTACTGTTCAATATGCACAATATTCTATTTAAACATTACTATTGTGTTAGCTGTGATTATTTTTTAAGTGGTGGTTTAAAGTAAGTTTTGATTTATACGATTGATGGAGTAAGACTAAATATTCTGAGGTATCAGAGAGGCACTGGTCTAACCTATTAACCACGGCTGCCAATGGGTCATTTGGCTCGGATTGCATAACACCTTCGATTGGGGAGGATGTTTTCTGCCTAGCTCAAGACCCTGTATGGGAGGTAGTGGATGCTGACTGTAGGCGGGACTAAGTGGTAGGAGTTTGTTCAGTGAGGGATGGTTACGGAGTTTGAGTAAGGGTATTACTCAAACCACTTTAGCCTACTCGCACAGTGCCATATATACCGCGACCAAGACCCGAGGGGTTAAATGCCTGGGTAGACTCGTACCCCATCCCTAAAAGGACTTCATCGGCTCACGTGTCCTGCATAAACCTTCTGGACTTGTTCACAAACCCCAAGATTTTGGACCGTTTTATCTCGGGGAGTGATTTGGTGATGTCCACTCCTTCAAAGATTTCAAATCTAGACCTAGCATACCTATCACACTCTGCGAGGTAGTGCCTTGCCGTTTCTTCTTTTATTTCGCAAAAACGGCAAAAGGGATCTGGTAGGATACCCATTACGAAGAGGTGTCTGCTCAGTGGGCAGTGGCCCGTCAGAATACCACCTATCAGCCTCCTAATTCCCTTCCTTGAGATAGAGAATAGCCATTTCGATTCTGCTGGTTTGATCACCTTAACGAACTCTTTCGATTGCCTGTGTCCGGGGGATAAATTCCACTCCCTAAGGAATTGTTTCATGCCCCAGTTATTGATGCTCTCTTTCGCTGTGCTCGTAGAGTGAGGTAATACCGGTTGTGGCCCGACAAACGCAGTATTAGAACCTTCTTTGGCTAGGCCATCCGCCTTTTCATTGCCATGGTGTCCTTTATGTGCTGGTATCCAAATAAGGGTCACCTTATTCTCAAACCTGAAAGAGATCCTATTGATAAGATCTATAGTTTCCTCCACCAGTCGTGAGGTTGACAAATCTTTTTGTAATGCCCTAAGACTAGCCTGACTGTCAGAAAAGATTTTAATATCTTTTCCCTTAATTTTATTTTCCATAAGTGTTCTACAATACACATTGATGGCCCAGATTTCCGCCTGAAAAGCAGAGGTGTTATTGCCAAGAGGGGAGGAGATGCTGATTCCTAATTTTGGTATGAGGATTCCTGCACCACTCCCTCTTCCTTTGATAAGTGATCCATCTGTGTAGCAGTCTGTTACAATGGTCATCATCCAGACTATAATTATAATCACAAGGGGTGACTACCTGAGCACAGTGCCATAACACGGATGGTCAAATAAAGCCCCAGTCTTTCCTGACAAGGCCTTGATGCGAAACAATTCTGAACTTTGCCACCAATTCCTTAATTGCCTTGGGTTGTCTGGCGGTCTGAGTAGCTGGCTATTCTGTTTACAATGCCTTTTAATTATCTATATTGAAAGCTTTTAATGTAAACTTTTTCTGCCTCTAAATAAAGTTATAGCAATAATAATAATAAAATATACAAAACAATAATGACAATAATATATTTTTTAAAACATTAGTTATTTATAATCGAATGATGTAACCACATGACAAAGAAAAGGACAAAGAGAAAAAATGAAGGGAAAAAGAAAAGGAAGAGGGAAGAAAAGGAGATGATGCATGTCATTTTTAAAAACTCAGATGCCATGGACTTCAAACAAGCTAGCGAAGAAGCAGACCATACTTCCTCAGAAAGCAAATTCTATAGTCTTCACCCTGCAATTGTGAAGGATAAGGCTAAAGAGGTTTAGAGGAGTGTTGAAGGCTTGAGATATGATTATGCATTTGGATAAAGCATGAGGGGAAAAATTTGATACACATTGAGGACATTTATTTAATTTAATTTTAAATATATAAATTAAAACTCTAAGTTATAAGTGTTTAGTATGTTAAGGTTGCTGAATACATAAATATAGGAAAAAATATGTTCACTTGGTTTAAGATCATAACAGTATCTAATATAGGAATTATAAGCAATTTGAAAGCAATGAGCAGTTTGAGAGTCTAGGAAAGTGAAAAATAGCGCTACAGTCAGAGAATAAAGGAATTATTAGGAATTTAATAACGAGAATTTTAGTTTCATGTGGACTGAAAAAGCTGAGGCATCGAAGAGAATGGAGTCTTGACTAGATCTTTTTAATAATAGGGCTCACATGGTCATGCCATGTAAGCTTGGAGTAAAAAATAACGTCGAGATTTCTAACTTTAGGACAAAAAATAGTAGGGCAAATGTTGATATGAGTAGGGGATAATCTGAACTAATTGCTTTATAGGAAATTAAATTTGTCAGGGTTTAAAAGAATGCCGTTATTTCTTGAGAGAATGAAGATCATGCTTCAGAGATGTTGAATGTAGGACATTGGATGTAAAGTTGAGTATCATTGGCATAAAGATGAAATTGGGAGAAATTAAGAACTAATGAAAGTTCATTTAAGAACATGGAAAATAGAAATGACTAAGAATAGAGCCTTGGGGTACACCAGCTGGAAAAAAATATTTTAAAATTAATTAATAATTGTGTTAGTCGAAACGTTGGCATGATAAAGAAAATGTTTCTCTAAAACCTACATTATACCAGACTGCATCTCACGATATCCAAATAATCATTAATAATTGTGTAGACTCCCCAGTGATAAACTCCAATTTTATGTACCTCCTTACCACCTCAGAAGTCAAAAAATATTCTTAATATAAGCATAATAATTTTAGTTAGTTAAAAAAGGTACAAATGTACTATGAATGTAGTTGTAATGCTTTACTATATTATTTTTATATATTTTTTCTATAATTCCTAGTCATTATAATCATATAGATAGGGGTATAATCATATAATTAAATCTTTGTTGTTTTATTTATTAGGATTTTATTTTTTTCCTTGATGTATAGTATTGCGTTTTATTCTTTATTAATGTTGAGTTAGTTATAAGCATTATATTGTATTTTTTCTCCTTGCTTTTGTATATATANTATAATTTTTTTTCAGATAATTTTATGTACCTCCTTGCCACCTCAGAAATTGGAAAATATTCTTAATAATATTATATAAATAATCTTAATATTATATAAATTAATTTGTATACTTTTATTTTAGCCAACAGAGAACATTATATATGGTATTAATTGTTTTAAAAAAAAATATTGTGTCCAATAAACAACAATGGAATATGAAATATGGAATTAAAACCTTTTATTTCGTTATTTTTTCAAAATTTCTTAATTAAATTTCTTTGAGTAAAGAATGTAATAATTTCCAATGCAATTTGTAATAAAAATGAAATAGGAAAGTAAATATTACAAAATTGTCTATATCCCTAGTCACCAGTTAATAAATGATTTGTCATGTATGAAAAAAAGTGTTTATTTCCATTGTGTTAATTTGTTTTTCTTATTTTTTCTATTTCTATTAATTGTTATTCTCATTTATTATAAAATTAATTAATAATTGTATAGATTCCCCAGAAATCCTTGGTAAATTCCAATTTTATGTACCACCTTGCCACCTCAGGAATCAGAAAATATTCCTAATAAAGCATAATAAAAATAAAAAATAAAAAAGGTGTTTTTGTGAACTATCTCATTCTTGACCTCACTACTTCAACTGTTGATTTATTTAATACTTCCATCTCCCCGTTAAAACGTCAGTTACTTACAGCATAATAATTTTATTTAGTTTAAAAAGAATCTCAATACTATGTATGTAGTTATAATGCTTTATTATATTTTTTTGGATAATTCCTAATCATTATAATTATATAGTCGGGGGGGGGGGATTAAATCTTTATGTTGTATTAATTGTAAGGATTTTAGTGTCTTTTTTTCATTGATGTATAGTATAACGTTAGTACAACATATTTTTTCTCCTTACTTTTTTTTGTTGTAAGAAATGGGTTTTTGACCCATGAAATAAATTTTAAAAAAAATTGTGGGACTACATCCCTCAAACATTGGCAGGGATTTTATTTTTATTTTTTTAAAGCTAATAGAGAACATTATAGGCTATATTAATTGTTTAAAAAAATATTGTGTCCAATAAACAACAATATGGAATTTAAACTTTTTATTTTCTTATTTTTTCAAAATTCTTTAATTTAATTTTTCCTTCAGTAAAAACATAATAATTTCTTATACATTTTAATGCAATTTATAATAAAAATAAAATAAATATACTAGGGAAAGTAGATACTACAAAATTGGCAATATCCCTGTTATTTTTGATAGGTTTATTATAAATGATTCGGTCGAGTATTAAAAAGGTGTTTATTTCCATTGTGCTGATTTGTTTTTCTTTAAATAAAAAGACAAAACAGTCTCTCATACGATTTAATTTTGCCAAATGGGAAAAAAATCTCTTTTTTGAAAATAATTTTTTTTTTTGTAGATTTCATTCTTGGATACAGGTTTGAATCTTAGCGCCGTCGGGCTCGAGTCGGATCAATTCGGATCAATGTATTTCTAAAGACAAACGTATTCAGAAACAAATTTAAAAGGTATCGGCCAATTAAAGATGCACAGTAATTCGTATATTGAAATAAAAAGGGGTTGAATAAAAATTAAAAAAAGTTCGTTTAATCGGGAAGGGTGGGATCAAGTCCGCTGGTATAGTAGACGGTAGCGTCAGGTTATCCATACACATACAATATGGCCGCGGCAAAGGACGGGTGTCCTGCAACTTTCGGGAGTTAATATGCGCCGTCAAATCGTAAGAGAAAGGGATTTCTGAGAAGCGAAAGGAACCGAGCGACAAGTCGAGGGACGGCAGATCCAGATGTGATGGGGGCGAAGGCGAGCACGGCGAACGGTGAGGGCCAGAGGGAAAGGACTTTTTCGACGAGCAGTTCCGAAGTCGGCGGGAGCGGCGGTTTCAACATACTCAGGGGTATACCCGGTGTCGTATCGGCAGACAGGGCCCGCTCCTTCTCCAGCCCGGACGGTCGGGAGCTGCAGAACGGCCAGGAGCACCACGCCGCTTTCGAATCCGTCGAGACTGACAGCAGTTCCACGGAGGAACACCTAGACAGCCCCCTCAATCCGTTCCCGAGGGTCTACACGCCACACTCCCTGCCTTCACATATTTTCTCCTGGAACGGTGAGTCGCATTTTGTTCATTTCACCGGCCCGACGGCCTAGCAATAAGACAATAACAATAATAACTGCCAGGTCACATTCTCATACTCTCACGTCCGACCGCATCTTCCATAAAAACAATCTTGACCGACATAATCATCTTTTATTATTACCTAATCGCTCGACTTGAACCCTCCTTTAAAAATCTATAAAGACGAATAAGTGGATAAAGAAATATGGCTTCGTTTATTTTTTTCCTCCTCATATTGGATTTTCACTTTATTTAACACAATCACTTGGTTACATACAAATCAAGCTGTCATACGTGATGATTTAGGCTGAACTGTTCATAGTTACAAGTGTTAAACCTAATCGTAATGATAACATGTATACAGAACATGCAAGTGCTAAACTTACATTCAGAATGTCTGCGTATACGTTTGTACATGCAAAAATGGTAATCTTACATTCAGTATGACATACGTCATCATTCTCCTACTATGCAAGTGCATAACGTTAAACTTAAAACATCATATGATTATTTTACTTACATGTTTTTACAGGCAAGTACTAAACTTACACTCACATAGAAAGTCATAGTGATCTTTCTGCTACCATATTTGTATTGTATATGCAAGAGCTAAAAGTTAAACTCAGAATGATACACTTGATGAAAGTGCTAACATGTTTGTATAGGCAAACGCTAAACTTACAATTAGAATGTCATAGTGATCGTTTTGTTCACATGTTTGAACGTGCAAATGATAATCTTACACTCACATAGAATGTCATAGTGATCATTCTGCTAGCATATTTGTATTGTACATGCAAGTGCTAAACGTTAAACTCAGAATGATGTACTTGATGAAAGTGCTAACATGTTTGTACAGGCAAACGCTGAACTTACATTCAGAATGTCATACGTGACCAAAGTGCTGAAATGTTATATTTTTCATGCAAGGGCTAAACTACGCTCACAATGTCATAGTGATCATTCTGCTAACAGGTTTGTCCGTGCAAGGGCTAAACTTACATACAAAATCGGTCAAATATAAATCAAGGTGTCATAGGTGATGATTTAGGCTTATTTGTTCATAGTTGCAAGTGTTAAACATAATCATAATGCTAACATCTATACAGGACATGTAAGTGGTAAACTTACGTTCAGAATGACATATGTGATCATTCTGCTGCCATGTTTGCATTACTAGAGTACACTCATGTCACAAGTGATAATTTCGCTAACACTTCGATGAATGCAAAAGTTAAAATTAAATTCATAAATAAGTGTTAAACTCACATTCATAATTAACTGTCATACGTGATACATAGTGCTAAACTTGCATTCACTTAGAATGTCATAGTGATCATTCTGCTCACATGTTCGTGCATGCAAGTGATAATCTTACATTCACTTAGAATGTCATAGTGATCATTCTGCTCACATTTTTGAATATGCAAGTGCTAACTTACATTCACTTAGAATGTCATAGCGATCATTCTGCTCACTATTTTGAATATGCAAATGCTAAACTTACACTCATTCTGCTCACATTTTTGAACATGCAAGTGCTAAACTTACACTCATTTAGAATGTTGTAGTGATCATTCTGCTCACATTTTTGAACATGCAAGGGCTAAACTTACACTCGCTTAAAATGTAGTATCTTTTTATTCTGCTCACATATTTTTTGTACATGCAAATGGTAATCTTACATTTAGAATGACATCGGTGATCATTTTGCTAATGTGTTTATACATGCAAGTGCTAAACGTTAAACTCAGAATGTCATACTTGATCAAATTGCTAACATGTTCATACAGGCAAACGCTAAACTTACATTCAGAATGTCAAAGTGCTGACATGTATTTTACGTGCAAGGTCTAAACTACACTCAGAATGCCGTAGTGATCATTCTCTAACATGTTTGTACATGCAAGGGCCAAACTTACATTCCAAATGTCACACTTGATCGAATCAAAAAATATGTTCATACTTGCAAATGCCAATCTTACACACATTCACTGACTTTCATTTAAAAAAATTTTGTGTGATACTTGTTTGCATCATGTTTATACATGTGAGAGCAATGATTTTATGCTATAACTTGTTTAGGCACATGCCAATTGTGCCAAAAAATCATATTGCTATTATATTTTATATTTTTTATTATAAACATACTATAAAATCATATTGCCATATTTTTTTATTGCTATGCTTAGCCATCACAATCACGTACATGTTTGATTTAATTATCAATTTGTACAAGGAAAAATTTCCAGTCTTTTTCCTCTCTCTCTATCTCTTTCTCATGAAAACTAACGAACTATTATTTCTTTAGTTACAAGGGTCATGTTTGATTTCTTGACATATTCACATATATGTTCACGCCATACATTTTTGTCAGAACTATACAATTATATTGTATTGAGATATACAAAATTTTCTATATTTAGTTTGTCTTTTAGGGTTGATAGTTTTAAGGTATCTATTTTATTATTATCTTATTGATAATTCCACAATTTGGGGAAAGTATAAACAAACAACCGTATCAGTATAAATTGACATTATCTTGTCTCGTAAACAAGTGTACTCCGTATCTTGGTCAAACTCCTTGTTGGGTCCCGTTTTTTTCGCCTTTCTAGGATAGATGAAAGGTTTGTGATTTTAGGTTTGAAGGGGCTGGTTTATTTTTCGAGAGATAATTAAATTTTAATTTAGATAAATAAAATCGATCCCTGTTGTCTTGAGTCTAGCGCAGCAGATAACGTTGGGTGGTCAGTTTTATCGATAATTATTGTCATTTATTTATCAAAAGCCACAACTTAAACCTTGAAAGGGACGGGAAGTCTGTTGAAAAGAATTATAATATTCGATAGATTAGATTCCTTTATACCTCCAATAAATATTATACAAAATTTAGATTTTCATTTTTATAATCTTTATGTAGGTAATATATTTTTATAACTTCTGATTTAAGAGGTAAAGGAGCTCAGGAGCTTAGAACAAAAAGAACGAAGATTTTTTCCCATCCGAGGTTATATCATTTGTTTAAAATGTAATTTTGATATAGGTATAATCAATCAGTTTGGAATTTCAAATAATAATTTGATATCGAGTTGAAGCAAGATTATTGGTTAGAAAGTCCCAGGAGCTTAGAACAAAGAGACCAAAATTTTGGCCCATCAGAGGTCATATAATTTGTTCAAAGTGTATTTTTGATATAGGCCCAGTGAATCGGTTTCGAGTTTCAAATGTTAATTTGATATCGAGTTGAAGTGAAATCATTAGTCACAACAGCTCAGGAGCTTAGAACAAAAAGTCCAAACGTTTAGCCCATCCGCGGTCATATCATTTATCCAAAGTGTATTTTTGGTTTAAGGCTAATATTTCATTATGCAGTTTCAAACAATCGTTTGGTATTGATTTAAAGCAGAATTATGGGTTATAACAGCCCAGATTGTAAGAACAACGTGTTCACAGTTTTGGCCCATCCATGGTCATATAATTTGTCTAAATTGTATTTTTGGTATGCGCCAAATTTATCACTTTTTGGTTTAAAATGCTGTTTTACTAGCCATCTGAAGCAAAATAACGGGTCAGAACTGCCCAAGAGTTTCAAACCACTCGATCACATTTTTGCCCCATCCGAGGTCATGTCTTTTGTCCAAAGTTTATTTTTAATATAGGCTTAGTCTCGATCGGTTTAAAGTTTCAAACGATAGGTCGATATCGATTTGATGTGAAATCATTGGTCACAAGAGCTCAGGAGCTGAGAACAAAAATACCAAACTTTCGGCCCATCCGAGGTCATATCATTTATCCGAAATATATTTTTGGTATGGGTCTAATCGATCAATTTTTAGTTTTAACTGATCAATTACTTTCGATTTGAAACAATATTATTGACTAGAACAACCCAGGAACTCAAAACAATGTGTCCACAGCTTTGGCCCATCTGTGGTAGTATCATTTGTCAATGCTGTATTCCCGGTATGCTCCCAATCGAATTCAAATTTTTTTCAAAGGTTTTAAATCATCTTTTACTATTCGTTTGACGAAAACAAGGGGATCAGACTGCCGAGGAGTTTTAAACCACTCGACCCCAAGTTTTGACCCATCCGAGGTCTTTTGTGTATTTTTGGTATAGGCCTAGTCTATTAGTTTTGAGTTTCAAATAATAGTTTAATGCTATATTGAAGCAAAATTATTAGACACAATAGCCCAAGAACTTCAAAGAGACCAAAGTTTTGGCCCATCCTTGTTTTATACCATTTGTCCAAAGTGTATTGTTATATAGGCCTCATCGATCAGTTTGGAGTTTCAATTGAAATTTTTGTACCAATTTGAAAGAAAACATATGGTCGGAAGGCCCAAGAGCTTAGAACAACAAGACCAAACTTTAGGCCCATCCGAGGTCATATCATTATATCCAAAATGTATTTTCTGCATGGCCCTAAATGATCATTTTGTGGTTTCAAATGATAGTTTAGTATCGATTCGAAGCAATATTGTTGGACAGAACAGCCAGGATGTTTAAACCACCGACCAATGTTGTAAACTTAAAACAACGTGGCCAAATTATTATTATATTTGTTAAAAACTATTTTCAATGTGCAATTCTTCGGTTGTGAATTTCGGAACTGCGCTCCGATTAGCACTGCGTTAATTAATTAATGTTGTGCTTGTTAAAATTTCCTCTCCTCTTAGCGAATGTTTTCCTTTAGTCGATTACCAAAGAAGCTTACTTGTTTTATCAAAATTATTCTAGTAGGATAAAATGTCTGTGATATACCGAATTTGTTCGTTTGTGTGATATTTCTGTTGCACAGCAGTTATAAATTTTGCACAGCGGTACTAAGCGGATCCAGGGATGATGGTTCTACCCCCTTTCCCGTTAATATTGGACATGTTCTTTGGAGTTTAGATACGATTTCTTTTCTTCTTATCTCAATCTAACGATGTGATAATATAGGTCATATCACCAAGGAGAGTTAGGTTTGTCAATTACATAACGGGCA